TGTTGAAGACTGAAGGAATAAAACCGTACTGAATAAACAAAGGCAAAGCAGCATGATTCAAATGTTGCTTTTTGATATGAGCATAAACTGACATTGTGAGGAAAAATGTTTCCTGAAGCCTGACCTGCAACTTCACACAAAGTCAAACCTGGTTGAAACTAGTCTTGCTGATGTTCCTGCGGTGGCCAGGGCGGGTAAACAAACTGCAGTTTCCCCTGAGACGCCCAGCGGCTGTAGATGAGCTTCTCTGTGATGAAGCGATGGCCACCCCTCTTGGCGTGTTCGTGAGCGCGGTACATGCGGCACTCATCCAGACGCGACGGCTCGTAGTAGTGATACGGCACAAACGAGTGGTTGGCGTTACTATAATCAAGCCAAAACACAGAAGTCAGTGGACTGCATTAGGAGAAATATCATTTTACAAAAGAAACCTGCAAAAATGCATGAACACTTAGATATTCTGTTTTGTCCAGGATGTAAAAAATTATTATATTAATGAATTATTTCTAAATAATTGTGCCTAGTTTTGTATTCAGTTTCTCTCTCTCTCTCTATGTATAAATGTTACATGTTACGTAACACATTAATATTGTTATATTAATAAATAAATTAATATTCACTTTAAAATAAGAATCTGTCGATTACATAACATATTGAGCTATAAATAAGTGTAAACATAAACGGGTATGAAAAATCCACCAATCCATTATTTCTGTAAATTATTTTCTGTACATGTAAGGAAGTTTGTGAAAGAGTATACAGTATCAATTATATTAATTAATTATAAACTTAAACATGTCTAAATATATTCTGCAGTCTAATTCTGTAAATTCTTTCCTATAAATGTGACAAATTATTAATAATTCATTATATTAATTTAATTATTAATTTCAAATAATTGTCTATTTACACATACACACACATATATATAAACTAATAAAATTAATATTCACTTTGACATATGAATATATGAATGACATATTTTGACACACTTATATGAATAAATATGTCATAAATAAACATAAATATGCAAGTGTAAACATAAACGTGTATAAAAAATTATATATATATGAAGAGTTCATTTGCAAAAACAGATAACTCCGTTTTTAACAATTTTCAAAAATAATTTTTTCATTGTGCATTCCGATTAATCTCAATCAAACTGCAGTTGGGTTATTTTGACTAGATTAGAAAATAACAAAAAAATACAGCTAACTAACACAATAATATCATAAAAAACATGATTTTTGAAAATGTGAAAAAAACGGAGTTATCTGTTTTTGCAAATAAACTCTTCATATATAAACACAATAAAAGTAATATTCGCTTCAAAATGTGAATCCACTGATTATATAATATACTAAGCTATAAGCGTAAAATTCTACAGACCATTAATTCTATAAATTGTTTTCTGTACAGATGAGATGCAATTCTATATACATAATGTCAGATCCAAAATGAATGGCAATGCAAAAATGACTGACTTTGATCGTTTTTTTTCTTAACAAACTAAACTCAAACAACTGAACTCACCTGCAGTAAGAGCCGTCAATCATTCCATAAACCAGAATACTGTCACACACCTCCAGAGCCAAAATCATGGTAAAAAACCCTGTACTGAGAAATGCCCCCGATTTCATCCTGACAGAGATAAAGCGATCCATTTACTACATTTTCAATAGCTTTTTTACATAATAATGATGATAGAAGAGAGGAAGACTAACCTGTTTTTGCCCGTCTCGTTTTGAAAGATGCTGTCACAGTACTGAACCTTTTCTTTGGTGACGGTGTAGATATTTGTATGTGGATACTTCTTGGCCAGCATCACTAGTGCATTGAAGATTTTCCCCTTTCCATCCTGCCTCATGTTTTTCTCAGGGCCCCAAATGACGTACCTAGTTCCCGCCTCTCGCCCGAAGAAATAGCCCTGCTGCTGTAGCAGGTGTGGCACGCTGGTGTGAGAGACCACACGCAGACTGGTCCTGTTCCCCACATCATCCTCGTACCCGACGCTGGGCGCTGCGTTCATGCGGATCACACAGTCCTGTCGGTCGATCTGCTGACCCCGTGCACCGCCCAGCACCTGCCCCGAACTGGACACCACGGCACAGCGGCCGCAGCGGAAGTCCAGGAACTGAAAACACATTATATACACTACCGGTCAAAAGTTTGGGATCAGAACGATTTTTTATGTTTTTCAGATTTGGAGAAATGTAGCATTGCATCACTCGCTCATCAGTGGATCCTCTGCAGTGAATGGGTGCCGTCAGAATGAGAGTCCAAACAGAAACAAAAAGCTGCATGTTTGTAAGAAACTAATCCATCATTAAGATTTTTTAACTTCAAACCGTCGCTTAAAATAGTCCTCTATTAATAATATTGCTTTCTCCAGTGAAAAAGTCGTCTTGTCTGAATTAGGTGAGAAATATGCACAGATCAAGGAAACACGCAGCTTTTAATTTCTCAAGACATTAACTGATGGACTGGAGTGGTGTGGATT